TATATGGGATCGAAAGTGTAAAAATTTAGGGGGTAGGAACGAGGTCTTCATACCAAATTATAAGTGCACGCTCTAGCTTCATTGTCGCATTCTTATCGTTAATAAATGAGGAAGTTGGCCAAAGGATCGTATGTATTCGTGTTTTAATTTCTAATATTAGCTTTTTACTTTTCTTTTGTTTTTACATCGTTGCTTCTGTTTGTTGTGGTGTGCATCGTTATTTTTATTTTTGTATGACATCATGATGTCTTTTAACCTTTTTCCTTTTTTGCGATAGTATTTATAGGCTTTAAATGTGCGTTTGCATTCAATTTCTTTGATGTTCTCATATTCTTCTACATTTGCTTGCCATAATGAATTTACCAGGAAGGTGCCAATGCGTGATTTGATTCCTTGTGTGTATGTGTGTGTTTTAGATGACCTTTGGTGATGCCATGAGGAGTAAAGCGAGGCTGTCAATTACAGGAAGCACTGGAGAAAACGGCCGTGTGATGACTCCAGAATTTCCAAAAGCAGTGCATGCAGTACCTTACGTGAGGCCTGGCATGGGAATGAATGTCAGTGTGACTGATCTCTCTTGATTGATAAGAACCTTTTGAGTGCCTTACACAATGGTTTTAATCGCGCGTTTTCTGGGTGAATTGGTTGAGAGGCGCATCCAGTATCATGAAGACATTTCTTCCTTTTTTTCTCTTCACGCGAAGACTCCTTCTCTTAGTGGAAGCTCATCTTGGAACTATAATGGGATGCTTTAGAGCTGACATCATCATCTTCTCTCTTTTTCTCTCTTCTATCTCTCTAATGTGATTGAGAAAGAGCTTGACCGACATGCACAGCTGTTGTTGGAAGTACTGTAATCTCAACCGAAAATCGTTGTCGAGGCAGCACGTCTGTTTTCTTAGCCACCATCGTCAAATCCTGGATTCATATTGACTTAAGCACACTTGACTTCATCTGCATCGAGATGTGAAATGTTTTATAAGAAAATTAAATAAAATATATAGTAAAAAATATTTTTAAGTATTTTCACAAACAAAATGGCTTTTAAATAAACCTGCTTCCATACTGGTTGAATATACAGTTAAATCTGCGAGGATGTTAAAAAGGCTTTAGGCTACCAGTTCCATATTTTTCAAAGCCAAATATGTTCATGCTAATGGAGGTATAATGTTTAAATCTTGTAATTTATTATTGTTATTAAAACTTTCCTGTATATCTTATTCTTTAACATTTGGTGTTAATATCAAAACTACATGGCAATGGTTGACATTTGAAATAAATTCCTTTCCTATGGTTTTATTTGTAAAAGTTGAAGTTCCTCAAATTACTGTCATTGTTACAATTTTGTTTTTGTTTGTTAAAGAATTTGAAAAGCGTATTGCCATTCTTTTGTCAACTTACCATTCAAGGATCAGGGTAGCAGTTTTATAAATTATAAATCAAGCATTTTACAAATCATTAATGCAAAAGGCTATTATTGAATACATTTTAGTACTAACTTAAAAAAAAGACCTAAATGTAAAAAAAAAAAAGACCTTCAATTTTTTTGGGGAAAATGCCAAACAAGTAAATGTGCCAAATTGAATGGCATTGGTGATAAAACTAGTTCTAATCAAATCAGTCGCTGTCATCCAAGTGAATGTAGATAATACATTCTGTATGTTTTGTAACTAATATGTACAGTTTGATGGCTTAATCAATAATTTGCTGATTGATTTTCGTACTTCACACATTTTACATTTATTGATGTAGAAATTAGCATTTAGAAGCATGCGTTTCCTCACAAAATAGTTGATTTTGCATTTAATATATGGTGACTGTAGTCACCATCATCAAATCATTCAATTTTTTCAGTTACAAGGACCAAGGCTGTTTGGGAAAAATAAAGTTGTGAATCAGATAAAGAAATGTTGTTCTCAATAAAGCCTCACTTTTAATTTTGTCTGGGCTTTTGGTGCCACATGGAGTTACACCATGGCCTTTAATCAGTGCAGCCACATTTATAAAATTCCAAAGCTCAAAATAGCATACTCACCATGTAATGAAATGCATTCAGGTGGGTAAACAATAAATTGAAGCCTTTTTAGTTTCTGATTCGTGAGGATATTTCATTTATCTGCTTTCAGGAATGCTGTTGCTTCTGCAAGGTCATCTGAACTACATGATTATATACCTTCATGGTTAAGCACTGGGTAATAGGGCACAAATGTACTGTTTTGAAAGAATTGTGTTTAGTTTGTTAGACCATTATTAATTTTGTATCTGAATAAATTGTACATGTTAAGTAACCTCCGCTTACTCAGATATGAATGGAGGCACAAAACGATGACTAAACTTATCACTTTGGTTTTTTTCATTATAAAAGGTACAGTATGTTATCTAACCAATTCATTATTCAATTTTCAAGCTATTCTCACAGACGTTTTGTAAATGGAATGTGTGCTAATTTTTGGGACTCTTTCTAAATAAAAACTGGCTAAAATCTTATTGTTTTATTGTTCATATGGCTCTTATTCTTATTTCTTCTTTGTGTTGTCTATTTTACTCTTCTGCCAGTTTCCCTTTTCCAAAACTTTAAAATGTCCAGTTATTCATGCTTATCCATTTTAATTACTACAAATCATTGCAAAGTAAATTGAAAACTAATCTTAACACTGCACCAGGACCCATGTTTCATTTCTCATGGTAAAACAATACATCTGTCAAATTGCATCTAAAATTACTCACATAAGGTGACTTAAATGTGTGCAGTAGGCTGCTGCCTGCACAGCTAAGATGCATTTCATTAAACATGGATTATAAACCATTTGTGCCTCCATTTGTGCAGCTGGGGATGCTAATATGCATTATGTGACTTGGATGGTAAAGTTACTTTGGCAGAAATTTATTTAATTCTGTATGAGGTCACACAAACTTTATTCAACTACATCTGGCACACAACTTCCACAGATGGACAATTAACAAGAGAAAAGGTCAAGATATAACAGTTATACAAAAGCATAACTAGAGTTACTTCTTAAACAGATAAGGACCACAAAAGGCTATTGCTGAATCACAAAATACTGTATATAGAGAATTTTTCATGATGAACTAACATAGTAAAACATAGCTGTGATATTCTGTTTTTTTTCTATGTATTTTTTTAATAAAACTTGGTGTGTGTTGAGAATCTTGTGGCACATACCTCTTCTTTTCAGTTTGTAGCGTGTGCTTATTTCTAAATATAGGCATCAAAATCATTATCCTTAAGCTCTTAAAAGAAAAGCGGTCTAACTGTTGCACTATAGTCTGTCACTGTTGTCATCTGTTGCATGTGTAAAATTGACATTTCCATGTTTTAACATAACCTAGTATTATCCTTTATCCTAGTCCTGTTTAGAATAAGTAGTTCTCAAGCATCTTTGTGTGTCACTTCATAAATAGGGTTGCAAGTCAAAAATACCTGGTACTGTATTTAGCAAAACATGGTTGTGAAGAAATCTGTCACTTGGAAAAAATCCCAGTGAGTGATAATAAAGACCAGGGTTTATGAGGGATGTGTGCACTAATGGACAAAGCCTGCACTTCAAAGAGGGAATGTGCTAGTTCAGCTGCTCACAATGACCCACTTGTGAATAAAAAAGCACCTGCTTAAAATAAATTTAATAAACGTATTAAGTCTTAAAATAGCTATAGCCTTATTTAAATTAAAAAAAAACATTTTCATACCACACCTTCCCACGTTGAATAAACAGAAAAATCTAGTAAGCCCTCATTGTTCCCAAATAGATCTTCACATCTCAGAACTTAATACCAGACTGGAGTGTTGGTTATTTTTATATACATCAGGTTAATGAACATGAAGTGTTCTCACCTAAAAGAACTTTTTTTTCTTTTTGGAATGGTAAACACTGTAGTATTAAATAAGTAGGAAGTCAGAAGGTGGTTGAAAATAATTTAGAAAAATAAATTTTAGATTTTATGTAAATGATAAAGTGCTTAAGATATAATCATTGGTATTATTGCAGTGATTAATGAAGTCTAACACAACGAAAGAGCATAGTCTTTTCTTTAAATGTCATTCTTATTAGACATATCCTGTGCATTCCCAGAATGCATCTTAAGTTTTAAACCAATATTATTGTTTAAAGGCATCTTTGATATTTGCAGAACATAATTGCAGTAAATGTTAGCATTTTTAGCATTTTTTCCAGCTTATGATTGTTGTTGGTTCTTATAAATATATTTTGGTGCCCAGTGGCCTAGAGACATTACTTAGTGACAGGACATTGAGCAATGAGTAATTAATTGTACAACCCCCACCTCATAGATGAGGTAAGGAGCTGCCAGTAGAGCACTGACAAGAACTGTTTTAGTTCACATGTTCATATCCTATCCATTACTTTACGTTATCTTGTAACTGTAGATCTCCTTACCAAAGAAAATAAGATTGTGATATAGCTAACATATCGCTAAAAACAGATGTTATGATTATACAGAATATACAAAAAAGGGGGGAATGGCAAGGATATTACAAAAACACTTTCACACAATCATGGAATAGGCAAATGAAAATTGACATTAGTACAGTAAGCGATCCACACGGGACCTACAGTATGAGCATATACTATATACAGTATATCGTATGAGCTTCAGAAAGCTAAAAACGAAATGGATCTTGGTGTTTATTATATAGAGTGTGCTATATCCAATAAAGAAAATGCGCGAAACTGGTACACGCCAAAAGTGTGGAATTTAAATCCAGAAAGATTATGAATATACTTTACAATCCATCATTACAGTAAATAGAAAAGTCTGTTAACGTTTGGTCACCATATAAAAAAAGGATGTTATATCCTCAATGAGAGTTCAAAGAAGTGGAATAATATTGGCTCCTGGTCTGAGAGGGCCTTTATATACTGTACGGACAGGTTAAGGGAACTAAATATCTTCAGTGCAGTGCAAAAAACATCTAATGAAACAAAGAAAGAGGGTCACTATTGGTAATGAAATTAAATCCCATTAAGGACAGAGAATAAGAAATATTTCTTTACATAGAGATTTACAGATATATTGAATACACTACCCAAATAGGTGTCTGAGACCCAGATTCTCGATATTGGATGAAAGTTTAGCTTCACATAGCTATTTAACTATCAGATGAGTAAGATGGGCAGAATGACCTTGTTTGAATCCTTTCTTATGTTCTTTTAAATAGCCATGACCTTAATTCATCTTAATAATGATTTGCATAGAAGTTACAGTATCTAATTGCTGAACAAGCATACAAGACACTTAGAATTCCCATGGGGTATAAAGTCATTCTGAATAACTTCATGACAATTCAGATTGTAGTCTTCCTTAACTGGAATACATGTATAGTCTACCAGATGTTTTATTGAGAAGTATCTCAGTGATGACATTTAACACTTTTTTAGCAAAGATGTCAGTTTCTCTACCTTTCACATCTGATTTTGTTTGTATGAATGCTAGTTTTATGTCAAATCCAATATTTATTTAAAAGTAAAAATAATTTATCCCTGAAAAATATTTTTAACAATTTATTCAGCCCACACCTTTATCCAAATCTACTTACAATTGCACCTATGCAAATTAGTATTTTTACAGCTATATACTGTACAGTATATGTAATATTTATACATCTTGATACAGCATTATACAGCTGGGTATTTTACTGGAACAAATGATATGGAGTTCCTTCCCCAGTGGTATAACAACAGTGTCTCACCAGGAATTTCAACCCACAACTTCCCAATTATTCAAAAACCTAATCACTGCTCCTTCTCATACCTTTCCCATTCTTTTAAAATAAATGGAATCAGCATCTTTCAAAACATTAGCAATAGCAATAAGACAAGTCTTAATATGCAACTAAAATAATGCAATTAAAAAAATGAAACAATAAGAATAAACGCAGGATTTAATATTTTTGCCTCAGATCTGAAAACCTTTAAATTATCATTACACATCATATAGAATGAAAGCTGAATGGTAACATTTATGATGAGATGCCAGCAAAATAGAGGGAAATTAAAGTACTGCAATTGTTAGTACAATAGTAATAGTAGTATAGGATTAGAATAATCAATGTTAATCTTACAGTTTGGTTGGACTTTTGGACATTTGCCTTTATAAATTGTATAACTTTGGTGACTTTTATGACCATTAACCTTCTTCTGTATCCATATTATTACATACAGTACTTAATTGCAGTTTGGATTTCAATAGAAATATTCACAAAATCCCAGAAAAGATGACACTCCTGCTCCCATATTTTCCATCACATTAACTTAGAAGAAATATTTAATGATTCATTTGTTCCAGGACTTGCAATCTTAATATGAGCACCTGGCTATTTTCAAAACACTTATGTATGGGATACTGTGATATAAGATAATGTGAAATAATTAAATAAGAAATAATTTATATTAATGTCTTTTGAAAAAGTAAGTTATACATTAAAGGTGATATTTCAATTCTTGAAATGCAATTATTCCTTAGAAAATGTTTTTTTTGTTCAAAGCACCTTTTTTATTCAAAACATTCTTTCCTAGTGAGTTTCTGTTGTCTGTAAGAAACAATAACTACTATTTCTCACCGTGTGTATCTGTATGTTGTAAGTGTCTTTATCTGCTTCAGTTATCAGGGTCCTATCTTCGCAAATCCCTAAAGCTCATGTAAAAGAGAATTGAAAGTATTTATTGCATTAAAAGATAAAAAATAATCTCTCCATTTTAATAACAAACAAGATGTATGAGAAAAGTGAACCTAGAGAATTACTCAAACTAATATAGCTATGCTGGTTGACATATAAGAAGGGAAAAAAATATTTAGTCAATGTAACAATTACATTTACAGTATAATGAGATACAGTATTTATTTTAGGAACCCCACACATGCTCACTAAATTGTTAAGGTACAGTAAAATAATTTCAAAGCATCTGAAAAATAAAATACTTTGATGACTAAAATGAAGCAGAAAAAAAAACAGAAAATTAAAACAATGCAAAAAGTCATCAAGACATCTGGTTAGACAGTTAAATTCCTTCGGGCCAGTTTTCTACATCTCTGTGCCACTTAGGATTTATGATGTGATAAAAATTAAATATTTAAGGCACAACTGATTCACCATCAATCAATCTAAACTTACCAGAACACTTTAAAAGTAGGAATCTATTTCATATTTACACCTATTATTTGAAATCACTGTTATATTTCTCCTAAATCTTTTACTGGAGCTATTATTAGTTTCAGTGAAGACTGATTTATTCAGACCTTGAAATTTACTAATAACATCCATAACAAACGCTGTTCCTGTGCTATTAATGTAAATAATCATAAAAATTAATTTACCAATAAAAACATAAAGGGTTGACTTAGATGTTTTCATTATACAGTGTTCTTTCCTGAGTTTTGATAGAATGTTATCACTTTGTCACAAAAACATTGTTCTCCACGTAATTGGTGTTGTTTATTTGGAAGTACCATTTATTTTTGCAC